TAAAAACAGCTTCACTAGTCTGGTAAAAGAGGTGTTCTCACACTGAATTTTGGCAGCTTGATGTAGTTCTGCTACAACAGCATTTATAGCTTATACTGTCAGCCACGGAGTCATTGGGGGTATTTGGGACTGAGGATTCCAGCATCCCTGTAGTGCATGTTCACACTGAGCTCTACATGGACTTGTATTTCAAATCAAGAATCTAATCCTTGTTTGGGTCCTCACTCCTTGTTGAGTATATATTGCACTCTTTTGTACCTGGACTTCTTTAAAAACCCTGAAAGTTAGTGGTGTGCTAGGAACAAGTACAAACACCTAAAAATCTTTATTTCTCTGCAGCAAACCTCTTGGTTTTATAGGTATAATGGATTGTTAAGCTTCAGGAAATTAAGTTGCAGCAACTGTGGGACACAGGTATTAATTTTCTAACTGTCTTGTATTTGGAACCTCTAGATTTTATCCCTTTATGTATTTTGTATTAATAAAGCAATGGCAATAAAAATCTGCTGCTTTCAGCTGTCAATTTATGTGGAAAGCTCTGTCTCTTGCAGCACAGATACTCCATGTACTATCTGTAGGATCTGTTTACTATCTGTGTAATGTTCCATACATGTTAAATGTTTGCAAAACACACCAAAATTAGCAGCACTGTGTTTAAAAAAATTTCTGAAAACCCATGCTTCAGAGAAATGTCATGACTGCATCAATATGATACAACACTGTTGATAATAATACAGCACTCTTAATTTTATGATGCCAGTAGTGCTGTTTCAGACATGCAGTGAAATTTTTAAGTGCTTCAACAAGTATTTGTCAAGCAGCAAATAGACCTCTTGTGAAAAATGTTCCTGCCTGCTTCTGTATTAACAGACGAGCATTTTCAATGCCATGAGCACCTCAAAAAGGGCTTGGATTTATTTTGTGTTGCTTCAAGAGGTTTTTACTTGGAGGTAGGCATTAGCTAAGAGAAAGCAGGGAACATTCAGTGGTGGAGATATTTTGCATTGATTTTAATTTTAAAATTTTTGATCCATCCATCCTTAGTAATTAAGCACTACTTACAAACACAGAGAGAAAGCACAAACTAAAACTTTTTTACATAACTGCATTTACTTAATGTCATTAAGAAGAGACAGTAGTTTTCTCACTAGAGAAGGAAGGGTAAAGATAAAGAAGGCCTGAACTACAGGGATCTCTAATGGAAGTTTTGATGATGAAAAACATCTTTTTTGCCCTTTGTTACAAACATTACACAGTCAGAACTTTACATATTCCTATTCTTATTCATAAATTGTTTTTTCACTCTTGGTATGAACATACAATATATACACACAAAGGGACACACAAACACAAAAGCAAAGCAGGAGCAGAGAAAAAGGCTCTCAGACAAATAAGATTGCATCAGTGAAACTGAGAGGAGAATTTGACCCACTGACTGCTACCAACACGCAAAGAGCAGTGACTTTATTCTGTGTTTAAACACACAGGAAATAAGAAATTTCAGAATTTTTTATTCTTGCAAACTACCAAACCTCTGCTTAGGCAAAAACTAATTCTAAAAACCTTCAGGAAACAAAATTGTCTTTATCAACCTGCAGCTCACCTAGGCCTGTCTCACCCTTCCCATACATTAGTCTTGCTTCATTTCTTTGCTCATATTTTCACTGCCTTTCTTTCATCATGCTGTTGCATTATTTCATCATTCTGCTTCCTCTTCGGCATGGTTTTTCTTTCTCCCCAAAAGTCACAAACAGCACCCTTGTCAGTGGAAAATCCCTCTCAAATCCTGTAATTCAAGTATTTCCCAATTTTCCAGATGGTGGTTCTGAGCCAAATGTTGGAGAACCTTAGAGATCAGGATGGATAGGATCTGACCAAGGAGAAGTTTTTAATGCATGAAGAAATGTGCTACAGAAAAATGTGCAGCTTTCCTCTTCTAGCCTGAAATTTAGGACCTACTCCAAAATACTTTAAAAATGGTGTTTTTTTCACATGGATGTTTTCAGTGAATTGCGCAAAATAAGCCTGTAGAGTTGGACTTACATGGTAAAAACAAAATTTTACCTTCTGTCACTACTGCCAGTAGCATAAACCTGCAGAAAAAAGAAGCAGCAAGAGAGAACCACATTTTCCTCTAAATGGGGAGGTCTCTGCTCAAGAGTCATGATATGAGCCCATTCACCACAGAGTTTCACCACTATGGAATGGAGCCCACACTAGCTAATAAAAATGCTATGATAATTTGATGTCACTGTTTTCTTCTCAGTCTGGCTATATGAGATAATTGGAGGGAAGCAACAGGTATAAACTGCATCACAGAAACTCACCTAATGTGTATGTAGGTAGCATCAAGTCAGGTCACGGAGGGGCAGAACTGGGCACATCTGCCAGACTTAGTGCTTTTAAATGTGGGAACAAATGGATTCCTCAGTCATTATACTCCAGGTGATTGTTTTGTCATATTGATATACCTGAGAAGAAAGACACATGTACTGTATGAGCAATGAATTATTCTTCAGGCAAAAATTATTTTTGACCTTAAGTTTTGGATTCTATATGTTGTACAGTGCCCCATCTTGGACAGGACTGTAGGGATGAAGATCTGATCTTAGTCAACTTACATTTTCTCAAACCTCTGTTCCACCCCTGGAGACTCAGTTTTCAGTGGATATAGACCACAGACGAAGAACAAGTTGAGTTCTTAGAAATGGGTTCTGATTTCTGTCTCATCCTGGGCCTGAGCAACATATCAGGCATGTTACTGACAATGAGCTAAAAGAATGCCATATTCTACCTTCCTACATAAGGAAGCTATGCAAGAACATGGCCAACTTTCAGCAGCTTCACACTCTGCATATTCAGAAAAAAGCACTAGAGTATGCATTTAATTTCACTTCAAATTAGTTACAGTCCGGAATGCACACTTAGATGTCTTCTCAGACATGGTCACATAATGGATCTACAGGTCACACAAACAAGGTCCTCTCGTAGTTATGGGCTTTTGAAATCAGTGGCTTCTCCCACTTTTAGATATTGTGCTTACATACATCTGGGGCAATACAGCTTGACTAGTGAACACTGAGCAGTAAGTAACTAAGATATGAGAAGTTCTTAGGCTAAGAAACAGCCTTTCTTATTTTGACAATTCAGCATCCAACAAAATGTGGATGGTTTCAGTATTGGTCAGGTCCTTCCATGCTACAGCCTCCCATCTTGTGTCATGCACCTCCTCCTATACTGGATATAAATGATATAAATAAAATTTAGGTGCTGCCAAAGGAAAGAGAGAATTTCTGGGCAAATTAATGCATGAGCAAAGAGACTAATTCTACTCATTTATTTAACATTCAAAATGGGGGAAAATGTTTTTTAATATTTCTAAAACTTTTTAAATTATTTAAAATACTATTTTGAGTATTTAAATCAGATTCTAATTGTCTGATAAAATCTCTATAAGCAAACTTGTTCATATTAGAAGATAAGCACAGTATAAGCTATTTCCCACACTTGGATATCAGCTTCTTGGTAGCAGTTTCTCAATTGACAACCAATATTACCATTTTCTGATCTTCTTTGAAGACCACATGAGATGACATAAGAACCCAGTAGCTGAGTAGCAGGTTTACTGTAGCTAAAACACCTGAGGGGTCTCAACCTTCCAGAGCTAAAGTTAGCAACCACATAACTTGCGAGCAGCACAAGATGATGTTTTAAAAATCATGAGAACTAAAGACATGATGGTTTCACATTCATTTACAGAGATAACTTGTGGCCCTGCCTGTTTCTTTTCATGCATTTGACCACAGTGTAATTTTTCACTGACTGGCCCTGCTCTAGTCCCCTAATATCCTAATCTTTCCCAGCTACAGGAAACATTCTAAATAAATTTTCAGTTGTGAAAAAAAAAAAAAAAAGAAGAGAAAGGACTCCAAACAATACAAGTTTCTGAGCTCAGAGGGCTTTTAATATAGAAATGCAAGAATGAATCCTTACCCCTCGCCTCTGATCATTCCTAACAATGAAAGCAAAGCTCCAAAGGTGTTTGTAGGCAGAACACAATGAATAGCACTACTGGTCTGTATCTGAATACCTTCTGAGGCCCTATCTTGCAAGGCAAACATATGTTAAAGTCCAAGGGTTTTATTCCTTGTGAGCACTAAATAAAATTCACAATATGGTGACAGCTGCACTATTTGCTGGCAACCAGAATTGAACTGGTACCCTTATGAAATGAACTAACAGTTGTGTTCAGCCCAAATAGCATGCTCCTATGCCCATTTGAATTCTTAATTTGCTTATTACATAACTATGCATAATGATAGAATTATTATGCAATTTTTTGAATTTTAAATCACTGTCAAATATAGATGGTGGGTTTAAGGAAAGGAAGCCATTAAAAATCTAGCTAAGACATTTTCCTAATTGTGCTAATTATCATTACCATTATGAAAACAATAAACAATTCTCTGTAAATAATTTCTATTTAATTACATATTTAACATAGAACTCAAGGAGTATTTAGACAGATTCCATACGACAATTTATGTGATACAAAGAACAAGGCAGACCCCTGAACTGGTCTCTGCTCATCATAGTCCTTGAATGATTCAAGGCAATATATATGAATTAGTATGTGGTTACCAGTGGGGATGCTAAGGTAATGTAAAATTTATTGCAAGAATCAAAGATAAAAGCAGGACCTAACACTTTATGCTGGTGCTTTACACAGTTGGATTCCTTCCATGTTTGCTAATATAATTGAAATATACATTACATTATTCTTCAGAGTTAGGATATTTTTCCTTTAGGGTAAGACAAGCTACTAACATTTCACATAATAGACTGATAAGAAAATTTTGTTCTTTTAAATAAATTGTACTGTCCTTTGTCATGCTTTTATTGGAAGGAAGACACATATTTTGAATTATTGAATGGGATGAATACATTAATCACTGGCTTTCAAGAAAAAAAGTCACAAGAATGAGCTCAAATAACTGTTATTAAAAAGCTTTGTTGCTGTGCATGCTCTGCCCAGACCCATGTTGTTTCCACAGACAAGACATCCCATCCTCTGCAACAAAAATGAACCTATTCTGATCTGAGCTCAGGGTTATATATACAAGACTGTCCCTTTGTTACCTATAAAATAAAACATGTACTAAAGAAAAGGAAAGATACATCAGAATTCTACACTGATTATGCCAGTCATTTTCACCACCCACACTATGTTCCATTTTACTGCAGCAGAGAAACATGGTGCATAGGATGTGGGAAGCTATCATCCTCTATTGACTGTTTTCGTATTAATAAGGAGCTGAAGGAAATGTATTCTTAATAGGGAGTAGGCTTTAACTGTCTGCACCACTTTGAGGAGACATTTCTGCCAAAGGAACACATTGAACCTGAACTATTATTGTCCATGCATTCACAATGTCAGTTTCATCTGTGCTTGGTAATGTCTCTCACTGAGCTTTCCCATCTGGCTGCACAGGCCTTGCAGAGAGCTTGCAGCAGCTGATCCAATAATGAGATACTGTCTCCAGCTGCTCAGTTATTACTGCTAAAGAGATCTTTTAACAGTGACTCCACTAAGCCATTTAGTGGAATTATGTTTTGAGTTTGTCTGCAGCTGTAGTAAATCTTGGGAGCTACACGTGGAAAGCAGAAAGCTACCCAGTCTAGCAGCACAAAGAATGTACAAAACTCATTAAACGTGGTTGTAGAAAAATCTCACCCACAATCAGACAGTGAACTTGAACTTAAGGTAGTAGTGCAACTCAATTGAGACTCTTGAGAGCTGCATTTACCTCAGAGACTTCTTGTACCTTTTTAGGGCTATGCCAATGCCAGGAAAAGCACGTGAGGTTTTTAGGCACATGGCAGCAAGAGAAATTTGAAGCTTTGTTCCCTGAAGTTACTGGACTTTGTCTTTTCTGGCTGGGTCAGTTACTGACAATCACATTGGTAGGCTAAATCCCCAAGAGAAAAAAAATCTTCTGAGTAGTAGTTTCTAAAGGAGATCATATAAACCACATCCTAAAAGGAAGCACAAAAGTAAGAAGTCATGTGTGACATGCTAAAATGAATGTGAGCGACCTGTGTCCTCCCATCAGTCGTACCTGAGTTCTCCATGGACACAAGAGAATGGCACTCTTGTAGTTCAAGATACTACAAGGACAAACATGTGAGGAACTGTGTAGCCCTGTGATACCTGATGAAGGCCACTGTTGCCAATGCAAAATCTGCCCTTAAATTGTGAAGCTGATAGAGTGGCTCACTGGAAACACTATGGCTAAATGCAAATACCTGCTGTCCTGGTGCTGAGCTACATGAGTTCCTGCTAAACTTTTTTACTTGAATTTCAACACCACTAAATTATTTTAGCAGAGATCAATTTTCTAGCTTTGCTCCTTTTAAAGTTATTAAAATATACAGAATCTTTGTCAATATTTAGGATTGAGATTTTACAACTCAGTGAATTCCTTATGCTGTGTCTGTTCAGTGTCTGTAATGACTTTGAAGGAGGATGTTGAGTTGTAATCTTTGGAGGCACCCAAAACTATCCATAACACTGATTGAAATTTGATTTACAGTTTAAGTAAAAAAGCAGTGGAGGGCAATAGAGAAAAATCAGACAAGTTGAAATTACTCATTTGCATGGGTTTTGAGTGGAGTTTTCTGGGTTTATTTCATTGTTTCAATGCCATGTTCAGGTCAGGTAATTTTCAAAGCAATTACATATTTTGCCTGCCTATATGTTCTCATTGATCTACAACAACTTTCCTAAGGAGTGGACATTACATCCAAAATTATTCTTTTTCCTTTTTCTTTTCTAGTAAATTATTCTGATAGTTCTATCAGAAGCATCTCAAAAACTGATCCAGTGCTATAAAAAGTTTATTATCTTTCAGTTGTCATTCTGTTCTGAATATGCTAAGTGACAGTCAACCTTAATTACTAAAGTGCTCAACTGGTGCTGATAGGTCTTCATTCTTATCTGGGCTCTTCAGCATTTGCAAGAGGTTTATAAAATGAAATTCAGTTACAGTTTGTCAGATCATTTCTGTGGGTGTAAAACTTATGTGGTTAAAAGTGTCTGAGGTTGACTAAGAACCATCTAAGTCACAATCATCCACCACAACATTTATTCTGATCATATCTTGATACATCCACAATTTTTCTCTCTATTTAATTTCTTATAGTAAGTTATTAGTAGTCTTCATAATCAGGAATATGTCTGTGTAACAATGATCTGGTCTTTTCTGTTCATGAATAACACCAGAGACAAGGAGGCTTAACAAGAAACAACCTCTGCATATGGTGTAGCCCTACAGCACCATGGAACAATACAGAGCTATAAGGAACTCCAGTTTCTCTGTCAGGGTGCAAGGCAAACACTCTGCAACATATTTCTTCACAGCAAAATCCTTCATCATAGCACAAACATGTCTAAATAACACATGGAGATTTGGTTTACGCATCATTTGAAAGCTGATTCAGTATCTTTGCATCATGAGATGCAGAATCATCTATCTATTTATTTAGAAGGGCCATTTACTTGTTTTCAACTCTTCAAAGTACAGTTGCTTTATTGTCTTATCTAAACATGGTAACAACCTATTAGTATAAAAAAGCCCTCAAAACCTAGCCATCCTTAGCTAGGTTGTAATAGCTCCAGCAAACCAAGTTATGCTGCTTTACTACAGCTGAGAACCTGTTCCTTTGTCTCCTAATATTCAAACTCCAGAAACAGATGTTTTTACTCTGACTCTTACACCTCTCCTCACCCCAGTGCTCTGGGAATTTTTCTTCCCCTTCATCATTCCCTCTGCATTTAGAGTTTTGGCCAAGACTATTATTGCCAGCAAAGGAAGATGATGAAAAGTGTCTGGCTTCAAGACTATCTCCTTTTCCATCACTTCTGCATGGAAACAGAAGTGGTGAATAAGAAACAACAAACTGCTTCTGAGTCAATCACACACGGTGGTGCTGAGCACAGCACAACTGCACATCCAGAGAAAATCCTGCTGTTCCTCTCACTGCTGAACCACCCTCAAAGTCAGTGGGAGTTTGCCAAATCAGGGCAGCTATACAAAAAGAGCATAGCCTAAGTATGCAGACATTTCATCATTTCACCTGTGAATCTGTAATTGCACTTTGGATGATTTTCTCACAATTCATGTGCCAGACATGCAAAATCCCATCTTTCATTCCACCTCGTGTAGCAAGGACTTTTGACTGCCAAGGACACCAGGTCATAACCTAGAAAATAAAAAGAGAACAGATGCCAGAATAGATTAGGAGGTCAGATGGAAGAACAGAGGCATTTTAGCTTGGAGTCTAGCTGTTAAAATTAACTACAGCAAGCACCCAGAATGTACACTCAGGGCAGAGTAGGATCCCAAAACTCCAAATGCTGCTTCCCTTGCCCTTGTTTCCTAGCCTACACGGTCCCACATACCCTCATGAAACTACAACTTTTCTGCTTGCCTTTCAGAGGCCACAGATTTACACATCAGTGGCCTAAGCCAAGCCATCACAGAAGTCTAAGCAAAGTGGCCTGCAGGGCTTACAAGAGATCTGGTTTCTCCCAGGGTATTTCCAGGATATGTCCAAGGCCCAGAATCTACCTGAAAAAAACTTCTCAGAGCTCAATTCCACATGTTTCAATAAATTTCCCTGACCCTTTAACCCCATCACTACAGTCCAGCCTCAGATTCTTTTGGGAGAACAAACAGCTTGTATATACTCGACTCTTCTGCCTATTATTAGTATTACCTGACCTATCTCCCACACAGACAGAGACTACATAAAGAATCTTAAATAATTTCATTTAAAATTTCTTTCTTCAGATTATTTGTCACCAACAATGGCATGAAAATATGGTCAGGAGGGCAAAAGCAACCTCATATATCAAATTAATTGCAGCAGAAGTAGTTTTCCAAAACTCCAAAAATCAAAATATCTTGTTTGCAAATTTCTATTACACCACCAAACTTTTCTGTGAAGGTACATAGATAGAAGAAATTGTGATAAACATTATTTCTGTTTGGCAATATATTTACAAAGGCCTACTAATCCAGTATCAAAACCCTAGCAAGCTTATATATGAAGAGAACTGGTTTAAAATTAATTGAATTACAGACAGAGGAAACTAATAGACGTCAGTAAGATAATTTGAGAAATTGCCTGAGCAACATGCCTTCTTCATATACTTTAGCTGCTAAGAAAGGAAGGAACTGGTTTTCAGTGTCTGTGACTGCAATTTCACCCCAGGGTTGCTAGGCCAGATATTCAATGTACTACCTCTAGACCAAATTGCCAGCAACAGGTTGGCTAGTGAAAATTTCAAGCTGCTAATGATTTGTTTGTTTTGACAAAGAATCCCAACATAGTGCTGAGCAACCTGGACTTCACGGTGATGGGCAAATCCTAGTAGTGTACCACTGCAGACGAGAACAGACAGCATAGGTTTAATGTTAATGGAACATGAAAAGCAACTCTGTCACACCAGTGTTTCTTCAGAAGCAAACCACATCAGAGTGAAGCAGCAGAACAGCAGTGTTTCAGTAAGAGGAAGCACAGAACAGCTACCAAAGCACACCCTGACTGCAGAGGTGACTGACAGCAGGAGGGAGCCCAGCAGCTGCCCCATTCCTGCTGGTAGGAACACCTGCTGACTCTCAGGTTTCTTTTCCACAAGCACTAATCTACATTCTGTTCAACTGCTGAGCCATTTAATGTAAACTATTGCCTGTTCTTCATGAAAAACCCTTTCACTAGGTGATTTTTGCCAAAGCCAGGTGTGACTCCACGCCCAACTGAGAGGCAGTGTAAAACTGCATTGTTCTGCTAAAGGGCTTTCTGGCAAGTCACCTGTATTCTTTGGTTCTGTCCCTTCCCTTGCCTTGTTTCTCCCTCCCACTCCAAGGCTTTAGAAAAATCTGCACAGCTTGACACTGCTGCACCAGCTGCTTGCTAGGAAATGGATTCACAGTTCCACAATATCATCAGTCTAATGCTCTGTTCCAGTATCATCAGTCTACCAAAGGCAGGAAGGAATATCCTGCCTGGATGCACTGCTACTGATGAAGTTTAGCTCCTAGATATGGCTTTTGCGCATTAATATGGGAGTTGAACTGAAAATACCTTGCAATACATTTTGCTATTTTTTATGAATATTACTTACATTAATCCTATAACAAATCAGAAGAGATTCCTGCTGAAATTCACACTTAAAACTAGTATGACACTGAAATAAAATCAGCAAGTTCAATACAATCCTTCTGGGTATCTGAGAAACAGGTATCTGACATTATTGCAATAGATTTATTTAAGAATTTTAATTATATTAAATAAGGGTTAGTAACTGGAGATTTTCCCCCAATGACTCCTCAAAATTTTTCAGATACATATTGAGTTACTTAGAAGCACTAAAAATGCACACACAAACCTGACTTACTGAAAGAAATGTCCTTGTGTTGTGCTTGTGTAATGGACTTTATGGTACTGAAATTTATTTACAGATTCATGATGATATGCTGTTGGACTATTTTTAACCACAACAATTACAATGTAATACCAAAGTCAATTGATACTTTGGAAACTTCCACAGTGAAGTTTAGTGTAAGAATGCTGCTCTAATTTTAGTAACAATTAATATTAACTCCATGTATTTTTTTTCTCGTTGTGCAGTTATTTTAACTCTGCTAATTAGAATTATTCTGATAACTCCTGATATTAGAATTATCTGGTTAATTTCAAACCTAGTAAAAGAAAACCTAATGCATCAACTGTAACTGTAGTTCACAGGTTCACACTGAATTTTGTCACCAATTTCTGCTCCGAAGTTCCTGTTGTTTTCACTGCTTTGGCCAGGAGGAAATGTGAACCCAAACTATTTCTTACTGCAGTGAGGTTATGCCGCTTGGCACTGGCAGGATGTTACACCTGCATCCTTGTAACCTAACCCGTACAGCATAATTGCAACTGCAGTTTATTAACTGTTTGTTCAGCTGGTATGCCTGTACCTCCTTGCACCTCCACCTTGCAGACCTCATACAATCACAACCAGGACATCTTGTGAAACCAAAAATAAATCTACCACTGCTGCTCTTATCAAGAGATAATAGTTTCATTGTGAGTTAACAATAAAGTCAGCCTACCCTTTCTATCATCTTTCTATTTAAGTAAAACAGAACACTAACATATGATTTTAAAATCACAGAAGCATTCATCATGCACATCTCCTCAGCCCCTTCATGTGTGAGTCAAAGATCTGAAACAGAAAGTGGGATGGAAAAAAACCACAAGAATACATCTGATCTTTGTCATCTGAGCCCACATACTGAAATGATACCTAAATGCAAAATATTCACCTGCTACTAAAAATACACCCTTGACAATGCAAAGGTCAACCACTCCATCCCTTCTTGGGTTGCAGATAGCAATGAGCTGGCCTTTCTTTGCAGATACACAACTGGAGAGGTGTGCAACTCCTAACAGCTGTGCTCTGCTGTGCATTTGGGAAGACAGATGGAGTCTTGATATCAATGGTGGGGCCATCTAAGTTACACACTGTTTCCCCAGCACAGGGCAGGCCATGATATTTGAAGTTCAGACCCACTGGAGACAAAATTATTTCAAGCTCAGGCTTTGCACAAAGCCAGTCACAGTCTCCAAAGCATAGTGAAATTCTGCAAGTGGTGACAGATTTTTGGAAGGAGAGTAAGAAACAGAGACTGCAGAAACAGGTTAAATCCTCTTTGGCTGCTTTCCTGTCATACAATAAATCTACTACTGATTTCTGAGATGGGGGGAGAGATGGGGGAAGAGGTAAATCATATTTGAACAAAGCCAAGAAAATCAGCTAAAATGAATGGGTCATTTGCCTGAGTAAAAGCAGCAGGGCTCTTTCTGGGAATAGACTTTACTACTCACCTGCTCAGAATACAATGATTCCAGCCTCAATTACAGACAGGTGGCCAAACATATTTCTCAGCCTCTTTCTGGTTTCAATGTTCCACAACTGCCAATCCAAAACAAACAAGAAATAAAAATTTGACAGCAGGAAGAAAGAAAAATTTGTTCCCTTCATTTGTTAACAATTTTGGCCACTCCCCAGTTCTGAATTGACAGAAGGAAAACTTCAAGCTCATTTATTTCACAAGTAAGACCATGAGTACTTCCAAATTTCAATACCTTTATCAGTGATGCAGAAGTCAGACTGAATTGGAGGGGTACATACCTGTGAGTTTAAAGCTATTTATTTACATGTCAGTCTTTGTGAGTTCATACATGGAAGCACTGTACTTCATGACTGCAGCAGGTAGGGCCAGTACTTATCTTAGCATCTCAGCTACAGTCACACAAAATCCTCTTGTTAGTAGTAGTGTCACATAACAGTAGGTACAGATAAATGTGTATAATCAGATTGAAGTCAAATTCTCAAATGTGAACCTATAAGGAGTGTTTTGAATTGAACTGTAAAGACATTGACTGCTAGAGTGATCTTAGCAAAAGACATACAAGAAAAACATAGCCTGTGCTAAACAAAATAATTTAATGAGAGTTCCTCTTACTGATGGAAGAATAATCTGACTGTCACTGGAAAACTGAATCATTAATTCAGCCATCAGCTTTTTTATTTTAGGAGCTTCATTGCATGCAGCTAATTCTGGATGTCACTAGGTCTGGATGTTCAGTAAGGTAGGTTATGATACTGGGAAGTGCTACATATGTTTTCAGCAGAGTTCTTCTGTAGTCTAGCAAACCCTTTCCATTTGTCTCCATTAAAAAAAAAATCAGTATCAAATAGTTTGGTAGTCACTTTAGCTAAAAATGGAGAAAGACAAAAAAAAATTAAGTTATCTAGTACTTGCACTTCTCCATCACTGATCCAAACTGCAAGGCATATTCCTTTTTTTATCCAAGCCAGACATGAAATGTGTTTGGAACTGGAATTCAAATCAGTGCCTTCAACAGCTTTCAAATCAAGAGTTTGTCCATTCCAGATATGTGCAGCAGGTCTTACATTGGCAGCAATGAGATTCTCAAGGCTCCAGCCCAGCATGTTTAGCTCTAGAAGAAAGCTACTAAAAATTACTGCAAAAAAACAGTAGATAATTAAGCTGGGGTAAGGGGCAGTATGGTTTGAGGGAGAGAGAAAAACATCTAGAGGGAATTTTTGAGGGAAAAACATCTAGAGAATTCTTCTATGAAGCCTTTACTGGCAAGCATTCCACCTACATGAAGGAGAATATCTCTGACAAGCCCAGGTCTTTGTAAGTCTAATCTCCTCAAATGTGTATGTTTACACGGCAGCATCTGAGTTACAGTTTACCCACTAGAATTTTTTAATCTCTCACCCAGGATTTTACATTGCCAATCACTCACCCTGACTTCTTCCAGCAGAAATGAGGCTCCTTCTCCAACAGATGCAGACCCAAAAACACCCTTGTTCCAAGGTGATTCTTGTGACTGAAAAAGACATAAGACAGAGTCTATATGGTATGGTTTATCCACTATCTTTGAGTTAATAATTACATTTACCCTGCAAATGGTAGGGGAAAATTCAAAAAGTTATTAAGGAAACTCTGCTCCTCATCTTCAGGGCTAACTCAGCAAATGGATGGTGGGAGTACTGCTTCCATTGTCCCTGACACTGAGCACATTGTGCTTGCAACTTACAAATCTCTGTAATAATTAGCTCCAGAACACTCTGTTATGTCATGTAGGTCAGCAGCAGATGGTGTACAACATTTAATACCAAATCAGGACATTCTCATTTTGCATGACCCCGAAGCAAAGAATGTGCTACCATAATCCAAGGTCTGGCATCTTTTTTTGGTAATTGAAATTTCTCTGGAGAACAGCTGAATCCATCAACCTGTCTAATTATAGACCTGACTGTTGCAGCAGAAATCATTTCTGTAGACCACTGTCGATAATGTTATCAGTCTTGGGGCATATCTTGTGCATTATCAGTGTATATCATACAGCAAACCGTCATCCTATTCATGGATATGCATGAACACTTGCAAAACTATGTTGAAAAAAACTTTCCAGGGACAATTATAAGCACATATAACGAACATAAATAGTTCGTTAGATCTTATGAAGTGCTCAAAATCTTCAGACCTGAGATTTATGTGTGTAACTTTTGAGTGTTTAATTTTTGCTTCTTCTGCAAAAAGACATAAGTGAGAATTTACAAGGTGTCACCCAAACCACAAATGATGTCGCTGCTATCTTCCAAAAAAAGATATTTCAAAGTCCATTCAATGAAACCACTGCTGTGGCTACTGGCTACTAGCCAAGGCTGATTGCTGAAACATTTAACTTAATTTTAAGTGGAGGTAGATCTATTTGATTTGAAAGTTGTATTGAGATCTATAGCTGAAGGAAGCTGTATGAGAGTTATGTCCTGCAGCTTTTCCATTTTATGTGAAGGGGACATATAACCATCTTTCTTGAAACACACAGAAGAATTCACAGTTTGTGAAAAGAAGCAACACATTGGAGGAATTAACTTAATCACTGCACCAGTCAGTAGTATGAAGCCTCACTTCTTGCTCCAAAGGTGTGGATGGCTTCATGGTGGTAACACTCCTAAGCTCATTTTGGGTCCCCTCTTGACATCCTGCATTTGAAGATTGATCACACACAAATCAGTAACACAAAAAAACACCACCATTTTTTCTAAGGCCTATGCCTTTCACATTCTCATTCCTTTCACACAGCTCAGAGGAGGCTTGAAGGACCTAATTTATCCTGGTTAGGCTCAAAACAATAGACACACTAGACTAGGTAGAGGCCACATTTCAACAGCTTTTTGAAACCTCCATGCATTCAGCCAGGTAGAACTGAGAATAGGCTCCACTATATTTTGTTTAATGATTAATATAAAATATGGTGGTTTTTCTCATTTTTTGCCTTTTGCAGAATTTGCTAGCAGCAGATTTGTTCCCGTGTGCTCTCCTGCTCCGAAATACAGTAATTAATTCTTTTACTCTCTGGGGTTTATTTCCCACAAATGTCTGTCCCACCGACACCTAACCACAGGAAAAGGTTTTTAAAGCAAACGCCCTTTGATCACACCACACTGAGCTCATGACAGCATGGTAACGAGAAACAAAAGCCAATACAGGTGTGAGAAAGAAGAGTCATCTTTTGTGGTCGCTGTCTACATTAGGCTGCAAAGATTCCTCAGCACTATGAAAAAAAGCCAGATCGTTAGTGTTTTGAATGATTTAATACTAGGTTTTTATGTATAAGAAATTACATTGCTATAGTGCATAGAGCAAAAAGCTGAAGACCCACATTTTTAAAATTTTCTCTGTATTTTAATTTCCTTCTTCAAATTATTCCCCAGAGAGTAGTAATTACAATGACTCTTAAAAGTTTCAAGGGCAGAATATGATATTTATCTCTACAACTAACCTCTTTGGTTCAAAAAAAGAATTCATCACTGATAAAATGTTTGTACTCTGTAAATGTACACATACACATTGTTCATAAAATTTCAATGACAGTTGTGGAAAACTTACATCATAAATCCATTCCATACACTGTCCTTAACCTTATCCCCTATTCCAAAATTCAGTTGGACAGACAGCAATTGTTTCTCCTCTTAGTTGTAGTATTCCTTCTTTGTAAAGATGAGCAACTAGATTACAGCAGTTTCCTTCTGTGTCTAAAATTCTCTGGAGTTAATTAAGAAGGTTTTGCAGGAATGACCTCAGGTCTGTGCAATGGGACTTGTAGCACTGCATTCTAACCCTAAAAAGGTCTAACATTACCGAAATGAAACTTTGCAGTACAGAAAAAACTATATTTCTAATATCTAGATTATTTTATTACTTTTGAAAAAAATTTCAAAGGCTTTCTGAATCCCAACAAGTAAAATAATTCATAAAATTTAGGGCACTTAATTGTAATATTCAATGAATAATAACATTTCTGAAAGTCTGTATATAATTTTCTTCTGTTGTGTTGGTAGCTGGTAATACACAATGAGACATCTCAAACTCATTTCAGGATTCTCTTCTCTTGTGAGTAATTCATCTACCCCAAATCATACTGTTTACCCTTTCAGCTTTAACCACCTACTTCATGGGTACATTAATATGCACAACAGGCATGTTAATATGCATAACAGGCATATGTTAACAGGCATTTCTTAGTGGAAATTAAATTTCATTGTGCCATTTTGTTATTTTGCCTGGATAGTAGTGAATATCACTGACTTTTGATAAGATTTTGGCACTCACATGGCTGTGTCAATTCTCAAAATGAGACTCAGGAAGTGATAAGTAGTCAGTACTGTCCCGTCAAACTACTCAATTAACAAGTAGGTGGGTGGCATCAAACCTGGTATTCTTAAAGCCTATATTCATCTGTCATCAAGGGAAAAAAACACTGGGATTTTCCCCTGTACTGTTGCTATTAACTGCTCTGAAATGAGGCTTATTTGCACTGAGGAAAGCAAGGAAAAAAATACAAATCTATCACATAAACCCCAATTTCTTCTACAAGGGTTGAAATCCAGATTCATAAAGAGAAATAGCCAGAGCACCAAAACAAATCATCTGTCCAAGACAGAAGACACCAAAATATTAGTCTGATATTCAATGAACTGTATCACACTCAAATAAGTATGGGAATACCTGCATAATTTCTTTTCAGATTCCCCCTGTTTTCAAATCACTTGATCATTCACACCCCCTAATTCCCAGTCATTCATAGGACATTTTATGTAGTAAATCACCAACTCCACCACAGATGAAACCACTGCTAGGGAAAGTTTGGCCTTTCCCTGCAGGCAAGAGCAACAAAACTCCACTACCTCTGCATGCCCTGATCTCATGTACTCCGCAGTCCATATAACATACATCCCCTGCCCCTTCCACAGCACAACCCTATACTGCTTGATGTGTTCTGAAACAGAAAAGCTAAAGGAAATTAATGTTTTAGGACCACCAGTGTATCAGATGGGGGCCAAAGGAGGGCCAGGTAAAAAGCTAGGGGTTAACCACACTGAAAAAGCTGGAATACTGTGTTCAGAGTTTGTGAGAACTCTAGAATAGCTGTGGGCAGGTAGCTCTCAGCCACTTTGTATTACTCTGTTACACTTACTGGAAGAGGTAGATGCACTTGCTTTTCCAGTGTAGATGCAGACTGTACTATCTTGTTGTTCAATGTGCCAGAAAATTGGAAGGTACCTTTCCAGATGCAACTAGTATTTTCCCAGACCTACACATCACCACTTTCTGCAATGCTATATCCAACCTCTGGGACCATTGGAAGCTAAGCTGAAGTGAAAACTTGCCTGAATTAAGAAGTCAGTTGAAAAACATATTTAAATATTGTGGACAACACCAATCCCATCAAAGGACTCAATAGTCATTACATAAAAGCCTCAAAACAGCCTGTCTCTGGGATGGGAAATGAATAACAAATACAGAATATCATGTTCAAATCATATTGCTCTAACCTGAGAGACTCGAGACATTTTTCCTTCCATAAAACATGGTTTCACTGTTAATGATCACACACACTTTAACAAAGCTCTGTGAAGAAGGCCACCTTAGCAGTGGAAGAAGGTCCAAACCTGGAGTTACTGCCTGGGTCACCTGTCAAACCTTAGTGACCTCTTGTCCTCTTCTGAACTGGCATTTGGGCTACTGTTATGAGCTTGCAATGACATTTCCTGGATGCTGGCAATAAATCTGCCCGTGAGGGAAGAGCAGTTCTGTGGTGCACACACTGCAGGGCCATTGATTACAGCATCACACCCCCTGGATGTCAGAGTCCTCCCTCAAACCAGGCTCACAGACACTCGACTCCATGATCCCATTCCCTAAACCAGTGCTACAATATAAAGTGGAAAATAGCTACAAGGTATCCCTGAGGAATAGGATCTGAAAAATTACATTAACATTTCCTTGGGTATGAAAGAAAGAGATGATGCAGCAAAAATAAGGAAAGAGACATCTGAATCATTATGTCTTTAACCAAGATTCAAAGACTCAGATCAGCTCACACAGACAGGAATATCTTCATCCTAGTTCATTACAATTCCTAGTAATATGTATTTCTTCACAATGGTCACTGAGATGAATCCTCTGATGCCAATTTTCTGTTTGTTCTGTAATTATTTATATACAGTAATGTGGAAATGCAGTGGATATTTTTACCAGCCATTCAAGATCAGTGAATTCTTTCTCTCCAACGTCTGTGAAATCTGCCCTTCCACGCACAGTCTGTGTCACTCATGCTGCAATCATGACAAGAAAAGTCTTAGAAAAACATAACTGGATAACAGAAGTGTTTCTCCTTTATATATTCCAGCTGTTCTACAGCAGGCCTTCAGCTTTGAGAGGCATATATATGATTTATACAGACAACTTGGCAGAAAGCTAATCACATTACTTGGATATGTGTCTCTCTAAAATTAGTGCAGACATTTCTGTGGAAAATTGATTGTGTATGCAAGGAAGTAATATTCTGTCCCACAGAGAGACCACACGCACTCACTGGTATGTGAGAAGATTCTGTTTTCAACAGACTATTCTCAACAGATCCCATTCCTTTATACTAACAGGCTGCACAAAGTAAATAGTCATTTATTACTGTATTTGAGAAGATAAGTAGATTTTCTTATGGATTTAGCCAAGACAGACTTTCAAATGGTTTTAAGAAGAACTTACATTTTGTTCATACCACAACGTATTGCGAAGATGCCCATATCACAATTTAGGAAATGGTTGTAGTCCTGGATCTAGAACTCTGAACATATTTGCTCTAACTCAGTTTCTACATGTAAGTCACAATATAAACCTAGGTTTACACAGAATCCACATGAACTTCATGAGGTTCAGTAAGTCCAAGTTCCAGGTGCTGCTCATCGCTCAGGGCAGCCTCCGGTATCAACACAGGCTGGGGGTGAACAGATTGAGAGCAGCCCTGCCCGGAAGGATTTGGGGGCATGGATGGATAAAAGCTGGACATGAGCTGGAAATGGGCAGTTATAGCCCAGAAAACCAATTGTATCCTGGGCCACACAAAAACCGTGTGGCCAGCAAATTAAGGGAGGTGATTCTGCTTCTCTGTTCCACTCTGGTGAGATCCCACCTCGAATGCTGTGTCCAGCTCTGAGGCCTTCAACACAAGAAAGACCTGCTGGAATGGGTCCAGAGCAGACCCACAAAAGTGATCAGAGGGCTGGAGCACTCTTCTGTGAGGACAGGCTGGGAGAGATGTGGTTGTTCAGCCTGAAGGAGGGACCCTGGGAAGTCCTTATTGAAGCCTTTCAATATTTACAGGGGGCTGATAAGAAGGAGAAGTACACACCTTTTAGCAGGGCGTGTTGTGATGGGACAAGAGGTAATGGTTTTAAATTAAAGGAGGGGAGATTGACACTAGGTAAAAGGAAGAGATTTTTTACAGTGAGGGTGGTGAAGAAGTGCAATATGTTGCCTGAAGAGGTGGTGGCTGCCTCATCCTGGAAAACATTCAAGGCCCAGTTGGACAGGGCTCTCAGCATCTTGATCAAGTTGAAAATGTCCCTCATCACTGCAGGTGGTTTGGACTAGATTACATTTAAATGTCCCATCCAACCCAAATAATTTGATTACTCCATTTGAACAGAGCAACATGTACTCATCTTGTAAAAGACATCCATTATAAGAAAAAAATGTTTTCTGTACATAACTTCATGGTAAGAGTTATTATCTCATCAAAAAAGAGCAGTTACATTGAATTTCTCTGTTGGCTAGATTGAACTAAGACTATTAAAACAATTGGGTTTTTTATTTTAAGGGTTCTAAAATTTACTGACTCTCCAATCAGTTGATGGAGGAGAGTGAGAGCAAAGAAAGCATTGTTTCCTCTTGAAAGGAAGAATTTCAAGACTAGTTTGTTTATTAAGAAAATTAAGTGATTGTCCCAAGAATAGTGTTTCCCAGAATCGTACAAAAGCATGTTCTCTTTCCAACATCCAGAGATGTCCAAGAGTATCACTATTACAAAGCATCAGACAACAACCCTAATTAGTCCATCAATGCTGACATCACCTCCTTTTGTTAGAAGTTCAGCTTAGTACCCTCATAGAAACTTCTCAATTATATGAATTAAGGATTACAAAATGCCATAAAAAAGATTTTAGGTATGCATTTCTGAAGCAAGTTCACTCAATAGTTATGGTCAAAAGAGTAATTGTGTGAAAGCAGCTACTAACCTCTTCATATAACTTTGGAACTGGTGCAATCCATGGAAGGAAAGAATACGAGAAATTGTAATCACTGACCAAAAATTTTCATCTTAATATTTGAACAGTCACAAGGAGATAGCAGTAAAGTAGAGAAGAGATTTTGAGTGTCATATTATGGTAATAGATTTTCTAATGCAAGTACCAATGCTTCACACAAGAAGTCAATTTTGTACTGAAGAGAAACTTTTTCACTAATGAAGGCAGGTAGCTGAAGTATAGACTTATGGTCCAAAAAGGCATGGATACTGCCTTAAAAAAAAAAATTGTGTGCCAGTGTTTACCACAAAGAATAAACTGATAAAATGTACAGCAATAGAAAATAACACTTAAACAGGAAATGTTCTGAAGTCTTTGTTTCACATGTTAAGCAGATTCCTTGTGTTCTTTCAACCTTGATCAAAATCTGACCACCTATTTTCACAACAATATTCTCAGGAAGGTACTTTTTGGTAACTTTTTGGTATTTTTTTCATAGCACCTCATTCTGTCTGCATGATAAAATCAGCAGCTACATCCTGAAGAACTGAAGCAATTATCTTCTACACACACAGTGCTTGTTAAAGCAAGTGGAAAACTGAGTCATTCATGTTCTTCATGGATATTTATTTCAATATATGCTTTCTCTCAGAGGTAACAAACCCATCTTGGGGGCTTCATTAGTTTAGTTTTGATTTTAGTTTACAGGATAATAGCCTAGAGAAAAAGAAGAAAAACTGAATCAAATAAGCAACAAAAAAGTTACTCCCAACTTTTCTCCATCAGACATTTCCTAAATGGACCTTCTCATGTTACTGTTATCCATGTCAATAAGGTAGTACCCTCATAACTGATTCCAGGCCAAAGACAAAGCAAATATCCTGTCTGTGCATTTGAATATGGCATAACTCACCTTTTCTGTTTCAGCTCTCCTGGTATTCCTTCCTTCCAAACCTGTTGCAGCATGACTGCTAGGTAGAGTAGCTTTCATCATAGATAATTTCTTAGGCATCTGAGGGTTACTGTAAAAACAGTTTTAATGGAAAAAATTCCCTTTAAAAATGTGCATGGGAATATATGTCAAGCACTTTTTAGAATAGCACTGACTGTGTAAGAGAGTACTCAGAAAGCAGATCTGCAGACTAAGTGGGACAGTACCAATACTGACATTTGGAGCAGTCACTCTGCTTTGCTTTTGTTGGTGAGAAAAAGAGATATTTCTACAGCACTATTCATCTTATCCTAAAAGAGATGTCTAAACAAGGTTAGATTGATCATTCCCTTTATAAAGAATGCCTGCTTACTACTGCAGCTCGTGTCTGGCCTTAGGTTTATTGGCTAGTTACAGAAAATCCTGCTTGTTAGAAAATTAGCATCTGATTTCCCAGGACAACACAGGCTTTCAGCACTGCTTGTAGAGGCAGCATGAAGAACTTTCTGCTCTAGAAGACAGAAAGGCTTCAGACTGTTTTAGAGCCAGAGTTTCCTAGACCTGAGCATGCATTACTGAAAAGCTCTGGTATTCTCCTTAGTAGAAAATAGAATTACACTTTCTGACCATATTCACAGGAACATATCCAGAGCACATAGGAGCATCCTTTATTCCTTTTCTAAATATTTCGATATGATAATCAAGGAGTGAACCATGTAAAGTTCATCTTCCCGGAAGCCCTTTGTGGACATGCAGCATGCAAACCCTTCCCCACTCTCCCCAGGCGCTGCTGGAAGCAGCAGTCAGCACTCAGAGCTCATTCGATGTTCCGTCAGCTCCCTCTGTTGCTGACGGGGAGAAACAGCCTCCCCTGGAATCGTCTGGCCTCCAGACCGACTCAGAGCGCTGAAGTTTGATCTGCGCTCTGAATGGCCCCCCAGTAGATCCCTTCTAGGGTGAGTAGAGTGACCCCTGGGCAGTGTCCCTTTGTCAATTCATGGAGCCTTAGGCTTTTGGGAGGAAACAACCACGCGAGGCCAGCTCCTCCTGCCGTGGGTGCACACCCCGCCAAGGCCAGGCCTCCCTCCAGACTGGTCTGCAGCTATGGCTGCGCCTGCAGGAGCTGCACACACGGTAAAGGAGAAGCAAAGGAAGCAAACGAGAGGCCTGTATGAGCTCTCCTACCCTTCTGTCAGTCGTTGATAGCTTTTCCAGATGTGAAGGTGCTGGTAAAGACCCTGTGGCCTCTTGCAGTCCAATGGAACCTAAATCCATTCCTGTGTGTCCCACATCACAGCAAAGAAAGGCTCATGTGCCGAAGACACTTCTTGGCTAGGGATAAGACCAGTTTTTTCCTCTTTCCTTTCATCCTTTCACCCCACTCAGTGTCAGCTGTCTGTACGGCCTGCTGCCCTAAGCTGCCTGCACACTGGGAATGGGAATTGTGGGTACAGCTTTCCTTTCACAACAGCAGCATGCTCCTGTGAGAAAATCACAGAATTAATTAGGTTGGAAAAGACCTCTGAGATCATCAAGTCCAGCCTATAACCTAACACCACCATGTCAACTAGACCACGGCACTAAGTGCCATGCCTAGTGTTTCTTTAAACACTTCCAGGGACAGTGCCCCCACCACTTCCCTAGGCAGTCCATTCCAATGTCTAATCACCCTTTTTGTGAAGAAATTCCTTCTAATATCCAACCTAAACCTAATGGCTTGAGGCAGTTTCCTCCTGGCCCGACACTGGTGTCTGGAAGAAGAGACTGACCCCCACCTGGGCACAGCCTCCTTTCAGGCAGCTGTAGAGAGTGATAAGGTCACCCCTGAGCCTCCTTTTCTCCGGGATAAACACCCCCAGCTGCTCCTCAGGATGCTGCTCCTCACAGGACTTGTGCAGCTTCACCAGCTTTGCTACCCTCCTCTGGACTTGCTCCAGCACTTCGGTGTAAATTTAAGAATCGAGGGGATGCTGTCCTGGCGCTTGCTGTGCCTGGGCAGCCCGCGCAGGCTGCTGCAGCTCTGCCCTGCCGCAGCCCCGGCAGCGGGAGACGGGAGCACCGGCACTCACCTCGCACAAATTCCCCGCCGGAGGATTTCCTCCTCCCTCTGCCCGGGCGCGTTTCCCTGCGCGCTGCCCCGCGCCCTGCCCGCGCTCCCGCCGCTCGCACCGAGCGCTTCCCGGAGCGCCCTGCCCGCCCGCTCCCAGCTGCCGCCTGCCCACGCCGCAGGACACCGAGAGCGCACATCAGCCAAGGCTTCATGTCAGCCTGCTCTCAGCCCGCGCTGGTTTTGGTCCTGCCGTGCCCGTGCCTAAGAGCCGCGGATGCTGGGCTGGGCACGGCTCCGGCAGGCGGTCAAACGCGCCAAGAAAGAGCGAGCAGACGGGGGAAAATAGTATAAAACGAGCGCTTCTGTTCAGATATGTACAGCTGAATCAAGGCCGGCGCAGGAAGCCTGTGGCAAGGAAGAAAAAAAAAAAAACACAATAAAAAACCAAAAACAAAACAACACAAAAAACCTACATTTGTGTCGCTCATGCACTAAAGCTACATCGCTGGCTTCAGCCAGCACCTTCAGCCACATAGCAACGTAGGTTTAGGGGTCTGGTGGCTCCTGAGAGAGGCACTGGTTGTCTGCCTGGAACCAGACAGGTTCTCTGACCTCCACCCGTGAAAGGGGACTTAGAGCTCTTCTGATTCCTGAACCTTCTCACTACCACTGCAGCTTATTCATGTCATTATTTTTAATGTTATCTTGTATTTTTAATATATTAAGGGATACTAAGTAAAGATTAAATTGGTCTTTTTATTTGCACTTGTGCAAATTCATTCATAGAGCAATTTGAGTCAGAAAACCATAAAATCTGAAAAACTATTAAAATGTAAGAGTCCAGACAATATTAAACAACATATTTTGGGTTTCAGACAGATTTTGAGCAAGGTTTTAGTTGAGAGTAACAAAAGGAGACACAGTTAATATAATGGGCTTCTGGGTAATGATTAGACACACCAGTATTATAATATATTAAGGGGAGGGTTGTTTGTTTTATTTTGTTCTGAAATAATATTAGATGCAAATTGCAAACACTTGAGATGTGGCTTAGACATCAGGATGTTACATGGATTTTCTGTAACCAAACACTTTTGTTCTTGCCTTTAAGGTCAGCATTAGTCACCTGTGCTTGCTTGATGAGTACAGCTTTGTTCATTTCAGCACACAATTATGTGTTTTCTTCCCCACCATCAAAACATCCTGCTCACAGGCCTCACTGCCAGGCAGAGACAAAGCCTAATATGTCCTCATATACAAATACTGAAATTTCACAGTGTTTCCCAAGCATCTCTCTCTGTTTTATAGAAAAGCATGAAGCTGTCCCTATAGTCTTGTTAAACAAAATGAATGTGGATTTTAGCTATTTAGAGATTATAGAAAGAGTTGAACCCACCACTGATACATGATATTGTACAAACTAGTGATACTGGTAGTAGTACTGAAGACATCAAAAGGAAAGAAAAAACCAGATTCCAGGTTCTACATTCAGAAAAGCCCTTTCTATTTCCATCCCTTAAAATGCATCATCTAAGTGCAGCAAAAAATCAGGGTGACAAAGAAAACCAACTGAGGCAGAAATGAGTCCTCAATGGTGGTTTGCACTGGGGGGGAAAGAGAGTAAGCAGAGACTCACAAGCAGCAAAACACCACTGAGGCTTGGCTTAGATCTGAGACTTTCAGCTAACTCTTCTCTCATGCAGACCTTCAACCTTACATCTCAGTACAGCTCGTTGCCAGGTAGCCAGTAGCAATTAAGAAAGCAACCCATTTTCCATTACCATCCCCACTCTCAATGCAAAAAAAAATCCACATTATATTATCTTCCTTTATTAGGACAGACTATTACCAAGGAGTTTTTCTCTGCTCCATGTGCTGAAAAGAGTTTTACACAGCTGTCTGTGATGCCACAGCAGCTGATGAGACGCAGTGCTGAGTTTGTAAACAAGGTGGTTTCAGCCATTCTGCCTTTTTCTACCTGAACAGCTGTCCCCCAAAATACTTCTCCAAGTCTGCCTGATAACACAGCTGCCTCCTGCAGAACAACTACCCAGATACATATGGGGGCCCAGGGGTTGTGCTGGAGCTGCACTACAAACTCAGTCTTGTGCCCAGCAGCTCTCATGACAGTGCAGACACATACTGGAATATCCCACACAGGTCAGTTACACAGAGCAATCAGCCTCCCTAGGTGATAGTTACACCCTTTTCACTCATTTCTCCTTCCCCTTCCATCCCTCTTCCCCCCAAAAAGTTCCCGAATACTTTGCATAAGGGCTCAGAGGCCCAGCAGGCGCTGTTATGTGCAACAGCTTTTTTGTAACAGGGACAAAAATGAGCAGCTTGTCCTTTCCGGTCTAAGCCGAGAGTCTCATGTTTCAGCTCCTCCTTCACATTCCAGGCCTGCCCAGGCTCCTCTCCAAAGATTTCAAAAATGGAGCCTCTCACAACTAGTTATCCTCTGAAATACTCAGTGCACAGAGCCAGGATCTTTGTTGTCTTCCTGTCAATGGTTTTGTGCACCACCATTCTCTGCCTGCTGCAACTCAGGTTTTTTAAACCTAAAAGCAAAGATTTTTATTCTTTTGAAGTCAAGGATTCACGAGGAAGGATTATTTCCTTGGAGAAGTACAGAGGGAAAGTAAGTTACTCTTTCACTTTTTCTGTCTTGAATACTAACAACGTACTAACAAAAAATGTGCATGTTTCTAGGTAAATAAAAGGCTTGGTTATGGGAGGTTTTGGCAGAGATTTGTGCTAAATCCCTGTTCTTCATACAGAAAGCTGGAGAAAACTTATTTTATCTAGGCCTGTTCCAGGAATCAAGTATTTAGATCTAGCAAATCAAGAAAAGAAATTGTATTATTTAGCACAGGGCAATACAGCTTAACTGGCAAATTGGTGGATTTTAATCTTAGTTAAGAATGTTGGTTTTGGATTTTGGAAGTTTATCTAGTAAATATGATTTTAGTGCATGTCCTAAATATCTGCTTTTTAAAATGCTTATATATAAGCAAAGCTGTAAGATTAAGTTTATGAGTTTACTATATATTTACAATAGATTGTCTGAAAGTAAATATCTTCAGCTGCTTTCATCTTTATCTGTTTAATGAAATGATGATCAGACACAATACATTTAGCCTTCTGACAGGAACCATTATGATAATGATAAATGTCATTTTAAGATTCAGTTGTGATCTCTACAATATCTATAGGCTTTTTCCTTACTAGACTAAATAATAGCTAATAACCAAATAGCCAATCACTAATAACTAAAGTTATTCTAACTTTATTTTTCTGAAGGCAACTTTGGTTGTAAACGTGGCCAGTTACTGCCAATACACAGACAAAAATTACATCGCACTGCAAGATCTGCACAGAGAGTTTGGTCCCTCCCACTTCACTGTGCTGGCGTTTCCCTGCAACCAGTTCGGAGAATCAGAGCCTAGTTCAAGCCAGGAAATAGAATCTTTTGCCAAAGGAAACTATGGAGTAACATTCCCCGTTTTCCACAAAATCAAGATCCTAGGATCAGAAGCAGATCCAGCCTTTAAATTTCTAATAGGTAACTGTTTTCTTTTATGTATCAAGCTGCCTGTAACCTTGGTAGTCTCATTGAATCCAGGCTGCATGTTTTTGTCAGGAAACACTGAAGTCTTCACAAACTATGGAGACAAACAGGCACTTAGCATACACTTACTCTCATTTTAATTTGCATATCAAAAATATGGGCTAAAGAATTGTGTCCTGAAAACATCAGTTTCTCCTCACTGCTTATAAAAACAGTCTGCTCTGACCAGCCCAGCTAGAAACATCCATTTTGCTAGAAATGCTAGAGCTAGACACTCCCACTTACAAAATCTTATTTCAAAGTACATGTTTTTTATTATAAGAAAGATCTTTCTTATGGACAAAATGTAGTTATAGGAGTCATAAAATTACCAGAAGATTTAATATAACCACATGCAGATGAGATTTTTAGCTGGGTCCTATGTCCATCTTTATGTAAAATGTATTGTAAAACAGGTTTACATATACTAGTTATATATAACCACTGATTTGTATCAATTTGTCATGTGAACTTCAGGACCTAGCCTGCAAAATCCTGCATTAATACAGGGAACATTTACAGACTTAGAACCTCATATTCTGATGAGCAAAATGAAATTCTCTCCCCCTTCAGTTGACCAAAGTTTCACAGACTCATAGCCAACTTGAAAAGCCTCTCTGAATTTTCCTGAGCTTTAATCAGGTTTTGAACCATATAAATATATGAAAGAAAAAGATTGCTTAAACATAACCCCTTTCTGACACACTACTTTACCCAGAAGATAAAGTAGTAGAGTGCCCAAACCTGTATTCCATCTCCTTGCCTTCTGAGTCTATTTCAGTCTCTCATAGCATCTCTTGTTAGAGAATTATTTCACATACCTAAATGAAATGTTTCCCAGAACTCTTATGTGCTAAATCCCCCAAGCATGTACTTGGAAATTTTTTTTATTGAGGAATAATTTAAGGGCACCATTGTCATTGTAACTGTGTTTGTTCCTACCTGCTCTTAGGCATGCTAGTAAAAACCTCAGGCAACCTCAGGCAACATGCCAGATGTCCAGTGAAATTATTGAGGGTTTTCTCTCATTTCTTTATCAAAATGACTAGAGCACAAAGGCACCTGCTCTGTGTGATGAATCCAGATTCTAAATATCAGTGCCATCAGTGTTAAACATTGGTACATATAAAGAAAAAAATTCTACTCAAATTTTCTTATTTGACATGCTGTTCACCTACAAGAAGGAGAAAGATCTTTTGGTACTTCAGTATTCTGAAATAAAGTTTTTCTCTTGCTGCATTCCTGAGTTTCACATTAAATTTCTGTGCATTTTTAATTAAAGTACCTTTTTTATTCGTGTTGCTATTTTGACAATCAGAAGGCTGAACATCATGCCATACCACCCTTTGTGCCTGTGACTACTAGCAACAGGATGGCACAGCACTGTCCAATAATCTAGTGCAAAATTAGTCCACTTGCAGCGCAAGCATGGTGCCAAACTTCAATCCGTTGCTTAAAAAAAATCCATTTAGGGTTCAGCACCATTCCCAACCAAACACTTGTTCTCCAGTCAAAATCTACTGGAGCCTTTCTTGCAAGAAGCTTAATTAAGCCATCAGCAGTACAACTTCCTGCTCTCATCTCACTTCCCAAAACTGACACAAAAGTAGGGATTCCCTGAATAAATATGTAGCCCTCGTATCCTCTTCCCTAGGAAGTATAGAATAGTCAAAGTAGGAACTCTTTAACAGTTTCACAGGAAGGGGGGAGCATCACTGACTTCCAGCTTTTCAGATCATTAGCAGCAATCAGTAAATCCATGCCCAGACTGCTAGCAAAGAGTATGGTGGGATTACTTCAGCATAAATAGTCAAAGAATCAGTGTGGGGCCTGGAGACAATTCCAGGTGTAAGCCACTAAAGCCATCTGATTTAATCCTTACAGATTCTTCAAAGAGAGAGCCTCGATGGAATTTCTGGAAGTACCTTGTTAGCCCTGAGGGTAAAGTTGTGAAATTCTGGAGACCTGAGGAGCCAATAGAAAGTATCAAACCAGAGGTAACAGCATTAATCAGGCAGATTATCATGAAGAAAAGAGAAGACCTCTGAAAAAGCCATTCAACACCATGGGTATACAGCCTTTCTATTCCTGAGAAATGTTGCTAGAAGCTAAACCATCAGGTGATTTTGCTACTCTTTAACTTTGGTGTTTGCAATTTGTCTGCTGGTTCTGGATTGGCTCCTGCAGTGGCCTCAGGAACAGCGGAGGTTTCTGACACAGCGAGGCACTCAGTACATTGCAGGGAGGGACCATCAATTTGCATAGAGGGTTTATGATTTCTTTTTCTGAATTCCTGACAATAGCTAATTAAAATTGTCACCAGGAGGTAAATAGTTAGAAAGAAGGTTTATTAATAAATGACTCATATTTACACAGTTTTTTCCCCCCATTATACCAGTAAGACAGAGATTTTATACTCCATTAACACATAATTGCCCTGTCATGAAAGACATGGGACCCAGAGACATCCATAGCAGGGTTTCACATATGTAACTGAAGGTACCAGCTTTGCAATATCTTCTCAAGGAAGAATACTGAATTGTGAAGCTGCCAGTTGCAAAAAAAATGTACATAGAAAATAAAATTATTACAAGAAGCAAAAAGATTGAAATAAATTTACTTGCTGCTTCATATTTTACATATTTTACATTTCAGTTTTCCAACACCTTTAAAATCTTCAAACTTCTCCATACATTTGTTGTGCAGTACAGTGCCTCAGATGTGAGCTCCTCTCCTGCTGGGTTATTTCTCTTCTGACCTGGATGAAGGCAGGGCCTGTGTAAATATTCATGGTTGCTTACAGAAGGACTCAAGGGGCAACAAAAATCAAGAGCCTGGCACTCTGACATCCTTCTGAGACTATGGAAAACAATGCTCCCCAGCCACCCATCTACATCTCATCTCTAGAATAAAATGGCAATCTTCAAGTAGAGGTAGAAGAAGGGGATGCAGGCTCCTGGCTCAAGCCCCACTCTTCTCACCTTGCAAACTCCCCAGTCCTGCATGTAACTGCTAACCCATTTTCAGTTCTGTTCCACTCTTCCATTACAAACTGCCAAGAGTTTTGATTTATCTGAATGAAGGGAGATAGAAAACTCGAGTAAGAAACCTCACCCCAGCTGTCCATGCCTTGAAGAAGGGCTGAGCTAATAGGAATGAGAAAAACCTGTGTCTGAGTAGAATAGTGAAATTTTCTATATGAAAAGGATGAGTAGAATTAGTGTTGTTCTTTTGTAAGACTAATACTGGTTGAAAATACCTAAAGCGCTTCAAAAATTTTCCAGTAAAGACAGCCGCTCAACTGTAAGGTGAGAAAATTCAAAAGGTGAGAAATTCAAGAGCAATTGTTTTTTAAAAGAGAGAGTTTTTCATTTATTGAATTAATTGAGAATGTCACAAAAAAATCTATGGAGATTGAGTAATAATACTTATCTGGAAGATTAAACAAAGTCACTCTCAATAATGGCAAACACCTTTTTGGAAAGGATATTAAACTTAATGCATGACAATTTTATCCACCCAAAACTTCAGAACCCAGTTAAGGACTATGTAAAAGTCTCATTAGACCAAATAGGCCTGCTGCTGGTGTTTTAGACTAGCCTCTGCACTGTTTGCCATTGTCCTGCAAGATTCCACATCATCTCTGAAGACAGTGCCTATTTTTATGCTGAGGTCCTGCATTTTACTCCTATCTCCTCCTGCATGTGCAGTGTGAGAACACATAGTGGGACATGTCAGGTGATTTTTGTCACACATCTCTGCTGCTTTGATGGAGCAGGAAGGGAGCTGAGATATGGACCCTCTCCCCTCACTGTGAGCAGTCAATGGTGCATGGAACTAAATGTCAGGACACAGTGTTTTGCCCATAAAAGGTGGATATCTTAATTTGAAAATGCACAAGTTTAAAACATGGATGTCTGTTCATGTGAACTACCAAAGCTCCCTGGTTTTTGCATCACTGAATAAAAAAGGGTAGGTATAAAGAAATGTTGGGTGCTATTAGTGGAAGACCCAAAAAAAAAAGCCTGTTTTAGTCCTGGTACTGCCTGAGAATTATTTGGCATATGGGAAATTTCACCTGGGTCCTTAAAACACTCAAGATAAACAGTGAGGCATGATTTTCTTGTTTGAAAGGGAGCGTGAGGGAAGGAAATGTGTGCACCTCGTTTGTGACTCACTCACTAAAGCTCATATTGTTTTCCAGAGGACACAGTGTAATCTTAAATATCTCAATGCCAGCATTAAGATCAAGTGTCTTTCCTGGTATTCAGAAATAGCATGTGATATTAGCAAACAAGTGGACAGAATTACTTAACTCACGGCTCCCTGAATCATAGTCACTGCAGAGTACTAAGGAAAGAAGATTTTGTCTGAGAAAACACAGTCGTGGATCTTCTCATTCCACTATTTAGTCGCATTGCAGTGACACAACCATCTTCTGAAGAAATTTCAGTATAGGTACCATTCAGTCCTGATTCTACACAGTTTAAGTTTTTCAAAATTTACTGTTAATTCTTTAACAAATTAACATTCCTCCTTAACAAAAACTCAGTGTGTTTGTATTACTTATACATCATGAGACATATCAGCTCTTGCAATATAATATTTAGGGCAGACCATTGATAAACTAATCACTCCTTTCTTAAAAGTATGTTACAAGTTATCTGGTAAAAATGAAGCATCTAATGGCCAAATCTACACAAACTTGGAGAAGCAAACAAATAAAATGAAAGTCAGAATATGTTATTAAAACAAGCATTTATCTATAGTCAAAAGCCAAGGAAGTAGTGTCTATATAAATACCCACTCAGAGTTAATTTAAAATACAGCATATAAAAATATAAACTCCAACATTTTAAACAGATTGAAACTTATTTCTTGGATTCTTGAATAAACTCCCCACTTTAAGATTAAACTTCTTTCCTATGATGCTTAATAAATGTCAGTGCATGAGTATTAAAGTTATTTTATTTCCATTTGAGCATAACTTATTGCTGAGACAACACATCAATGTCCCTTAAATATTTAGTGATGTAAGAGAAACATACTCACATAGGGTTCAAACCCAAAACTGTTACTTAATATTTACATAATTCAGTAGATTATTTATAAACCAGTTGGGGTTGCTGTATAACTGCATGAAATACAACTACATTTACTTCTATACTCTCAGTTACACCTTATTTTAAACACTGCATTCACTCAGTCTGCATAACCTATCACACCTCCCTTACGTCAGGGGAACCAGGCAGGCACTGGCCAGCTAGGGGCCAACGAGATATTTAAACAGCAGTGTTTATATTCTTGTCTGGACTGTGATGTGCTAATCTGACAGTGTAGTCAGTTGCTGGTGTGTGAGGAACAGCTAACTAACAATACACTGCCTAATCACCACACACAACAGTGGGAGGTCAGTCACTGTGCACACCTTCACCAACACTGCTGCTCTTTCTCTTCACGGTCCATGGCACGGACAGCAGCTCCTAGATAAAACAAGTCACAACAAAGAGTGCCTTTGGCACTCTGTAGATGCCTAAAGGGCCAAGATGAGGATGAAATTTACACTGATGGCTGTGGCAGCAAGTTTGGAGAAGCTCACAATGAAACATGAATCAAAAAGATGAATGTGCTTTCAGCCTTAATCCTTCCACATGTAGTCCTGTTCACACTGTGTGGTTGGTGAGACTATGTGCAGTGGTTTTAATGCATTAATGTTAACAAATTAAGTTATCTGGAGAAGCAATGAGAGAGGAAAAATTCTAAGACTGACTTTTTAAATCACATACAATGCGAAGGTAATTATTTTTCAGATATAGCATTTAGAAAGTTAGTGAAAGTGACTTTAAGCCATTGAGGACTCTAATTACTCAATTACAAACAAACAAACAAACAAACAAACAAAAAACACCTCTCAAAAGCTATCAAGCTGCATTTGTCAAATAATGCTATCAAAAAAATTAAAATCAAACATAAAACACACATGAAGTTTTTACAGATATTTAAAAACTTCCTGTTACCTTGGTATCTAAAAGTAGATGAACACCAGAGTCTTAATAAAGAAAAAATTCTCACTGTTGTTAGAATAATGGAAAGATGCAAGATACCACTTGTATTTGCCTGACAGTCAAAGAAAGCAATAATCAGGAGAAACAAAAAGATTTCTTATACAAAAGTAGTAGGTCTCCATTTTGATGACCAAGGTATGTGGGAAAAGAGAGCAGCTGCATGTTAGCTGCTGCCAGAACTTCAAGCAGCCAACACACACTGCCGCCCCATCACACACAGCTGCACCACCTGCATGAGTTCCTGCATGAATCCCTGCACCTTCCCAGGGAACTGCCTTGAAACAGCAGCGAGCCAGCCCTGCAGCTGGTGACAGTGCAGCAGTGACTGCTGCATTAGGCACAGCAGTCAACTAGCAATACACTGCCTACCAGACACAGAGCCCTTACGAGGGAGATGCCTCCTGAAATAATATGCCTGGAAACATTTCTTATTTTTGACCTAAATTCAGCATTATTCACCTGTTTTAAGGTTCATGTTTCATATGTGGATATATACAAGTTCAAACAGTATATAGTGTGAAGAGATAAACGTCACAGGTAGGTGTCTGACTCAGGAAGACCAGAGTAAGAGCAATAGTATAAACCTCCTGTGGAGTTCCCAGGCTGTCCAAAAGGAACTGGATAGTGCTGCAAACAGTTTGTTGTCTTAGTTGAAAGAATATAGACATATTACCTCTATAGTATGTTACTTCCACTGGTAATTTGTATCATATAGACCTACTCCAGTCCTTTTCTGTGTGGGACATTTGCTTATGGCCACTGTTGCAGCCCTGTCCTTAGCCTAGATGAGCCCAGAGTCAAACACTGAGTAGTCAATTTTATCTTGAAATTAGAATTATCATTGGTTACTCCATAGCAGGTTACAAGCCACAGCATACCTCTCTCTACGGCCACCTAATGGAAAACAAAGAAAGGTTTCGGGACTGAAGCTTATGAATTTAGTCTAGATGGAGGTAAGATTTTACCTCCAACATCCATTTTGATTGAAAGTCCTTTGAAGTCTCTCTGGAAAGAAGGTACTGAGTTAGACACTGTATAAAAGCCAATTAATATTGTATTTGAAGCCTTCACTTTGTTTCTTCAGAATTGGTCTTAAATCACTCAAAATAAATCTTAACTCAATACAAAACAGAACACGAAACATTTACTTCCTTGAGTGCTGCTGCTGTTAGCAGCCACAGAAAGTACGGGCTAATTGAGTTCTCCTTGTTCCACAGCAAAAGGCGGCCACCTCTGAGTTTTCCGCGATGCTATTGAATGAAACAATATGGAGTGCAGCTAGCAGCTGTGGACACATCAGGGACAACAGCCAGCTAACACACACTGCCACACTGTTACACTCTCTTCAGTTTTGGCCAGGAGTTCCCCTTCACCACCAAACCCAAAGTTTTGTCTCCCAGAGCTCAGTCATTGCTCACTTCAGCAATGCGGCTTTTCCCTGAGGGATCACTTACATAAAATAAAATGTTGAAGCAACATTCTCAGCATGCTAGAGATTACATTTCTATACTGTCATATCTAATGGCAGTATGACTTATCTTCTGCTTCAGTGTTTTTCAGTATGGTCAATCCCAAAGACACCTTCACTTCCCACTCCATCAGTTTGCATGTTACAGTCTTACCTGGTTTTGTGATTCATGTCAACTCCTTAAGGCACAAGCTGCCTGTATTTTACCTATTGATTACTGTTCAGCGATTATTTTTGTGATTAAAAAGTTTCCTACCTAAGTTCCTACTGAATTTGTGAGCTCTTTGTTGTGTCCCTTATCATATAATACCAAAATGTAGGTAACCGAGTTTGCAGTGCCAATGGAAAGAGAGTTCTGCAAATCTATACAACCCATTCAACCAGCTCAAATACCTTCTGCTTTTAAAGAGTAAGCAGTCCCTCTAGTGCACCAGGAGAGAAATCCAAAGGTGTTTTTGTTTCCTCCCCTGAAGGGATGCCTATTGACCGTAACTTGTGGGGTTTTGACATTGCAGATGCTATGCTTGAGGAAGTGTCATAAGGATTAATAGAAAACAAGAGAAATTACATGTTGTGGGGATTTGTTCAAAATCACCTACTTTCCATAGTTTCCTTCCCTCCTTCCTCCCTCTCTCCCTCTGTCCCCCAGAAAGGCACAGTGGAACTCTCAGTTCAGCGCGTACAAAGGAGTGCAAACGTCTGTGCCTGTCCTTACCTTAGCTGCTCTCCGTGGGCTTTGCTTTCTGCTCCACTTCAAGTCCTTTCCAAACGTTCTCTTCGCGTCATGCTTGAAAAAAAACACAGAAACACAACACTTAGCAACCGCGCAGCTCAGTTTATTCACCCTAAATCACCTTCCCTCCAGCCTCGCTGCTGGCGAGGCTTCCCTGGGAGCCACGGCCCCGGGGACAGTTCAGAGACGCCGAGGAGGACCGGTCCTCCCCAAGGCACCGGCAGCTCCTGCACCCCACGGGACGCTGTTACCAAAGCAAGTCCTCATCCCTCCTGCTCGTCCTCCGGGCGGGTTTTTCTGATTTCCTCTCCGTCTCTGCCGGGGCTGGCTGAAGCCGCTGCCGCCACCTCAGGAGAGGTACTCTGACCTGGGGCAGGATCCCTCCCGGGGGGTGGGCTCCGGGCAGGTGCGCGGCAAGCAGCCACTCTCACGGCAACCCGTGCGGAGGGAAACTTATAGCCCGGCCAGCCCTCGGGGCGCCGGTCCCCGCGGGGAGGCGGTGCCAGCTGCTCGGCCGCCCACCGCACAGTCCCCTGGCGCCGCACGCCGTCCTTTAAGCATCCCGCAGGCGCGCCCGCCGCGGCGGGAAGCGCGGTCCCGTCCCGCCGGCGGGCCCGGGCTGCGCGGCGGCGGTCCCGGCTGGCGGCAAAGCGCCCGGGCTGCGCGGCGGGTCCGCGCTCCGCGGGCAGGGCGGCGGCGGCGGCCGGTGCCAAAGAGCCCTGGCTCGGCATCGGGCACGGGCAGCCCGCCCGACCGACACCTGGCCGAGACCTGGCCGAGGCCGCTGTGTCACCGCCCCAGCCGGGCGCCCTGCGGCTGCCATCGCTCGGCCGTGCCACGGTCTGGGGCTGCCATCACTCCGCTCCTTCTGCCTCGGTAATGGGGCTAGGGCAACTTCACAGAATCACAGCTTCACAGAATCACAGATTCAATTAGGTTGGAAAAAACTACTGAGATCATCAAGTCCAGCCTATAAACTAACACCACCATGTCAACTAGACCAGGGCACTAAGTCCATAGCATCCAATCCATTTTTAAACGCCGCCAGGGATGGTGACTCTATCACCTTCCTGGGCAGCCCATTCTAATGTTTAATTGCCCTTTCTGTGAAGAAATTCCTTCTAATGTCCAACCTAAATCTAATGACTTGAGGCTATTTCCTCTTGGAGTGACACTGGCTGCCTGGAAGAAGAGACCGACCCCCACCTGGCCACAGCCTCCTATTCAGGCAGCGGTAGAGAGCGACAAGGTCATCCCTGAGCCTCCTTTTCTCCAGGATAAACACCCCCAGCTCCCTCAGCTGCTCCTCACAGCACTTGTGCTCCAGCTTCACCAGCTTTGCTGCCATTCTCTGCCATCTCCTCAGCACATGCTACACAAACCCCTCACGTCTCACATCAGCTGCTTCCCACTGCCACCCCGCCTGCTGCGAGGAGCCGGGCACCACCGCACGGGCAGCGAGGTCTGCGGGGCAGCGCCGTTCTGAGGCACCCAAGCCAGGCTGTCTGAAGCTGAGGGCTGAATGCAGTGCCGCTCTGTCAGACGAGATTGAGCAAACGGCATCGCAGCCCTGTACACAGTCCTCTCCAACGCAGGTCCCCAAACCCAAAAGCAAAGCAAAACCCACTGCTTCACCACCATCTTACACTACCAGATTCCAAAAATAACCTGCTATCATTTTGCTTTTACGTGACAGGCAAAGGGAGAAGTTGTAGGAGAAAGTGTGAAGCACCGCTTAATGCCAGCAGATGAGTTGTTCGTGCATGTGCTTTATGGAGTTCGCATGCCGGAGGGACAGTACACATTTTTAGGCACTCAGTCCATCTGAGAAAACCTGAACACAAATTTGATAGGAGAAAGGTAAAACAGTAGTTTGTTTTTTTGTTTGTTTGGGGGTTTTTTTTGTTTTTGTTTTTGTGTTGTTTGGTTTTTTTGTTGTTTTTTTTTTTTAAGGATAGAGTTTAGTTAAACGAAAGAGGTAAAAAGAGAAGAGTTACTGGAACATGTAATATGGGGTTTTTTTCAATGTAAGTTCATATTCTTTTTCAGTCCTTGTCATAATGTCAAAATTCCGGGTGTCACCATCTAGGTTTTCAAGAGAGAGATGCAGGCAGACACAGAGCATGTAAAAGAGCATATTTTCCTATTTCAAGGTTTTGGTTGTTAGAAACAGCATTAAAAGTGTTCTTTTCTAAGACTAAGAAATAGAGTACCACTTTTTAAAATATGCTGAAAGTATTCTTCACTTTCTTACTGTTTCTGGAAACCAGGAGAGATTTTTCTAAATTTTACGGTGGAAAATAATTGTTTGAACCAATAAAAAACTTATTCTGCAAAAAAGTTTCTCATATATTTCTTATTTCCTACCTAATTCTATTTTGGAGCTGCATGCTTCACATCTGCAGAAAAAACACCGTGTAAACAAGATGATGGAGGGCTATACTGATGCATTTGTAATAAGCAATAATTAAATATCAGTTGATGGAGTTGTTTTGCCAAAACAAAGTAAAACTATTTCAAAAACCTGCCACCTTATTAGCTCCCTTTGTGCTTGGTAAGGACACAACAAAGCACACCCAGCATACAAAGTGGCTGGGTCACTCAGCACCTTCTTAATGCTTTCTGTAAAACAAAGAGCACACAAGGCACTGCTAGCATAGTTTCACAAAGGGTTGCTTGCAATGCTTCAGTTGCTCGCTTAACTGAATGTGAATTTTTTTCCTACAAGACAACGTTTAACGAGAGCAGCCAAATATCGCCACCCTGCCTAACAGCAGACTCCGGCATGCGCTGCAAAGCCAGCTCGCTTGAGCACTCAATAAATCAGCAACGCTCAAGTGAAGTGTATTGAACTGTTACCTATCAGACCAGTGTTTGAGGCTCTTGACAAACCTTTTTCTCACACTGAAAAGTTTCCTTCAGGTGAGAAAACCTGTAACCGTGCAATTCGTTTGGCAGTGGGAGGAAAGAGGTTGCAATTGAGAACTTTATGGCTGTAAACTGGAATAAAAGTCAAAAGTCTTTCGAGTCAACAAGGTTTTGTTTGAGTGAACTAGAATTGGGATTAATAAATGCTGAGCAATTCATTAAAGAGGAAATAATATGACCCACTGCAACTGGTGTTACAAGCAGTGTTTCCTACCTGTGAACCTTCAACTCACGCATGCACACATGCACCATGAATTGATTTTAATAAAAGATCTGGGGGTTTTTCTATAAAATTTCTACTGAACACTGATTAACAGTGGTATATATGCCGAGGTACTATGTTTGGTAGCAGCCTTAAGGTAAGTAGCTCCCTAGGTGAAGTCAGTGGTAAATAAAAATAAGCAGGAGTGACATGGGGAACTCTGAACTTCTCTGTGTTTTTTGACAAGTTTGTGTTGGATTATCAGGAAGGTATTATAATACTAGGGATATCCTTAATACATTCTTCTTCACTTGAAGCACATGATATTCTGGAAATTATGTGCTAGATAAGAGCTTTTTTGCCACTTTGAGATTGTAACTTAAATTTAAACAGAGATTTGTTTTAAAAAGTTGTACACAACTAAGTGTATCATTTCTATAATGATATAGAACTCACTGATATGTCTACAAAGTGAAATTAAGTCATTTGGGTTAAGTGTCTTCATTTCTTTCTCACCATGGATTAATTTTAGGTTCCTCGTTATGGAACCTATACAGCCAACTGCTCAGTTATTTCATTTAAGTACTAAAAACATGGCTAAAACTTTGTAGCTCACGGCAAAAACATTCCCAAACTGGTATGTAAGAAACCATGTAGTTTGTCCTCACTGGCAGCAGATGGTGCTGATATGTTTTGCCTGGAACTACTTTGAAAGCTGTTATTCAGGTTATCAATACCGTCGAAACATTGATTTTTCTCATCCATTATCCCTAAGGTCTTTTACTATAAAATTGCTGTCATCATCATGTGTCAGAATTTATCAAGATAAAATACAAGTTTGTAGTTTGAAGGTGAAGTTTGGACATCAGCAGCAATACTCATAACAATTAAGCGCTGACTGAAGCAACGCTTTTGAGGAAAAGTTGGATTCATCATATCCAGGCTGCTGGACAAGGACCACTAACACTTTTACGACCCAAGAATTTCATGGTATGAAAGTGAGGGTGCTCCTTGCCAAATGATTGCTGACAAGACGTGGTGGCAGCTTACACCAGATCTGGGCAAGCAGGGAGATCTAAAGGGCTGGTCATAGAACACTGCCTTAAAAGCAGTAGATGGCAGATTGTCTCCATGACAGAGAAAGAGAGAAGTGAACAAAAATGGTCTTTTAGGTAAGTTTTTAAGAAACTTTCACTTAAATAAAGGCCTACCCTGAGAAACCTGGCTAGTTAAGGAGCACAGGGACTTTGATATCAAGGGCATATTGGATACTTATCAGAGATTATGTAGTCACTGCCTGTGACACCCAGGATAAGCCAAGAAAGGTGTAACAAATTGTGTTAAGAAAAATATCACCATTTAACAGTGTGAGGGGTCTGATTAAGATTTACCACCAGTGTGAGTTTTGAAATAGGTGGGAAAAAAATGTTGAACATACAGAGGTGAAAATTTGTTTCCATTTTGCAGCTGCAATCAAGAGAGATTTCTGGGAACCAAGGCCTTCAACTTCCTGCCAGAGCAAAAAGTTATGTCCCAGCTTTGTTAAGTGCTCACTGAGCAGAGATCCTGAGACATGGGAACATCTTAATTTTTCTTCCTGTATTTCTTCACTGTTCTCTCTAGATTTTCAGCCAGTATACAGAAAGATCCCAATCTGGTTGCCTGCTCAGTGCTTAAGCTCCTCTGAGTGGGTTAGAGGAACATTTCTCAAGCAGTATGGACAAAGCCCTGGGCCTTTCTAAGTGGCTGACAGTTGTACTAGATGGTGGTTCTCATTTATTAAAGGGGGTTTTGACCCTCAAGTGTTTCTACCTTCTTCTACCTTCTCAAGTGTTTCTTTTGCAACAGAAAGCAAAGCAAACAAGGGGAAGGAAGGAATCAGGAAAGAAATGAGGACTCAATTCATGTGGCTGTTCCCATCACATCATTTCACACTGCAGTGAGCAGCTGCTGTTTAGACTCCAGAATGAAATATTGTTGACCAGGTAACTGGAATATTCTGGCAAAGAACTCAAAGCTTCCTTTTAGCTGTACAAGGAACTCAAAGTTTCATTTTAGCTGTACAAAGGAGAGGTAATTAAGAGGACAAGAGGAGGAAATAGTTCCTGCTTCTTTGCTGGGGCTTTCATTAAAACC